TTTTCTCTCATAGCAAATCAGGCAAATTATTTTTCGTCCGGTTTCGAAGGAAACAGTATACATATTCTGGTCGGTTTTTGCACGTAGATTCCGAATCCGGTGTCTGTTTTCTGGTGTCCAGTCTAGTTTTCGAAAAATTGACGTAAAACTAGTTTTACGTGGAAACTAACGCCTTTTATTCTCTCTCTCTTTTTTTTTCGTTCTGAATTTTTTTGTTTCCATTTTCTTTTTTCCTATTTTATCGTGTGAACGAACAGAAAGAGAAAAAGAATATCCATCTCAGCTTGTATCAAGCACTGCTGTTACTTCAGTTCAGTATACTTGTTCAAAATAGAACAGACATAAAACACCAGTTATATTAAATCCGAGAGAAAAAAGCAAGACTGATACTAAAAAACGCTACAATTACTTGTATAGAAATCATTTGTATGCTCTCGCGGGGCACCAAAAGTAGATTGTTTACTTCTTTTCGTAGTAGGCAATGTCGTTACATCAGCAGTTTGAACAGAATCGCCTGAGTTTTAGATATCAAGACGCTAGCCTGGTCCAATTTACACAAACGCGTTTTAAAAGTAACCGATTCTTAGTAAGAATCAGGCAAATCATTTTTCGTCCGGTTTAGAAGAAAATAGTATACATATTCTGGTCCGTTCTTGCACGTAGATTCCAAATCTGCGGTCCGTTTTTTGGTGCAAAGTCTGCTTTTCGAGAGATGAGCGAAAAACTGGTTTTGCATAGAAATTACTGCTTTTTCTCTACTTTCCCTATACTTTGTATTTGTGCCATTATGTGTGTGAAAACGATATGTTTTATTTTGATTTTGACCATATACACACGAAGTATAAATGTGCTTTTCCATGCTTATTTCTCGATGATTTATGTGAATTATACTATTCATTTGCGACTACAATTTCTATCAGATATATTTGTACAAAGTTAGTTTAAATTAATTAACTATACAGTTTACAAAACTTGTTAATAACTTTTCTTATTTTATTCTCAAGCATTCGGTCAAATATAAAAAGTTTTATTCGGTACGCTTAATCGAAATATATAGTTCAGATAGTTGTGAAGAAATTTCGTTTAGCAAAGGAGCGTTGAAGACTATACGTCATAAAAAATTCCATAATTTTACGTGATCGAAACTCTTCGCATTAGTAAGATCATCTACGAATACATCTTTTATTTAGTAATTCTTTCTATTGATTAGAAAGCAAGTCAAAATTTAAATTTATTTTATTTTGTATAATTTCGGTTTCTTTGATTGTCTTGTTGATACATACATCGGCATATATATACTTTCAATGTGTTCGTTTTCTTTAACAGATATCTTTATAAGAGCACACATTTTTCTGTTTAAAGAATAAAATCAGAAAGTAACAAATTTTATATTTTCATCAAATGTTCATCTTTTATGAAGCACAAGGAGGAGAGTGCTCACTATAAACTTATTTCGTATTGCACCAACTTCGCAAACTAACATTACACTAATTAGAGCAGACCCATTTCCATCTTTCATACTAGTTTAAAGTACACAAGTTGTACACGATGCTGATATATTTTTTAGAAAAGGACCAATTTTAGTTGTTGAGGAACATGGATGTGAATATCGATGATTATCGTCTAAAAAAGCAAGTTTTTCCTTCCTCGACTTCCAGAGACTTCTTTTGCTTGTGTCGAAAACTTGCTTTTTTAGACGATAATCATCGATATTCACATCCATGTTCCTCAAAGACAGTGAGTCACTGTGAATTTAATGCATAATCCGCCAACTTGATCAATTGATATCGCATTAAGTCGAGAGTAGTTACTTGCCTTTTTTACACTAAGTTCGAGTACACAAGTTACACATTATGCCCAGCCATCTTAGTTGAACAAATTCTTTTAGAACTTGTCGATTAACATTTAATTTGATTAAGTGAATATTCTCTTCAGTAAGAAAAAAGTGCTTTGTTTTTGTTAGACAGTCATATTATGAACTAGACCATATATTGCTATGAATTGCTTAAGGCTTAACGCTTCGCAAAAGTCAAAAAAATTTCCCGGCTACTGTGGAAGGATGTGTATTGCACCATTCCTCACAGTGTGCATTAAAGTCGCCTACTAAAAGAATAGCACCAAAACTGTTTGATTGTAAAATGTTGTAAATTGTTTCACTTAGAAAATGAATATACGAGTCAATCTGCTCATTATTCATACTACGTGTGCGATAATTGACAGACAGTAAGACTCTTCCTACTTTTTGGCAGGATGGTCTCAAAAAACATGATTTCATAACCTTTATCTTCCATAATCAAGAGACACCTTACTACCAAGTGTTCTTGGTAATAAAGTAAACGTCCATCCCCCTCTCTGTCTCTGTCTGATCATTCTAATTTATAACCATTTATAGCAATATCATCATTTGGAATTGTTGAGTCAAGCCACGTTTTTGTTACAGCAATGAAAAACGGTTTTGACTCACTGCGCACTGCAGATAGAAGATCAAACTTCGGCATAGCACTTTTCGGGTCTTTATCAGATTTTGCCGCTATACTCCTCATATCCAGAACAAGTATTTCTATTGGGTCTGTCACACTAACACCAGCTGGCTTTTTTACTCAATCTAACCACGATCGTCTACACTGATGTGACTGATGTACTTTATAAATCCCGGTAACTCTATGACCCAGGTTCTTTTATTTTTCTGTTTGACAGATTGATTGATTTCATTAACCAGTTATTACTTCATATGTTTTCCAACATTATTAGATTCTCCACCTTCAAATCCATAAAATCATACATTGAATGACCTATTATAACGTTCGAGCTCATTTGCTTTTCGTTCGAGTTTAGATGTGCTTCATTCGAACAATTCAACCTCGTAAATTTGTTCTATTAACATAACGTACAATTGTTCATTAAACACCACATTTAATTACCATTTCACTGAACAGTCCCAGCAACAGCTAATTGTAATGATGCATCATTTAAGGTAAAATACAGTGAAGTAAGACACAATTGTTGCCATGTTTTGCTTTCTTTTTCGTAAAGTACCATAAACATGAACTACGCTGTATATTTTTCTTTTCTTTTTTAATTCATTTTCATTTCTAGTTTAAACATTTTATTGACAATAAGCTGCACAGCCGGGAAGCCCCATTGCAGTTTAAAGAAGGAGCAGAGTACATAAAATAATATGTGCAAGTTAATACCCATAAATTATATTCACTTTCTTTCTTGTTTATGAGTGTTCCCCGATTATGCAGCTTATTTTCAACAAAAAGTTTACACTAGAAATGAAATAAATTAAAAAAGAAAACAAAAACATACAGCGCAGTTCACGTTACCAAAAAGGAAAGAAAAACATGGTAACAATCGTGTCTTCTTACTTCAGCTATATTTCATCTTAAGTGATGAATCATTACAATCAACTGTTGCTGACATCATTCAGTAAAATGGTAATTCAGTGCGATGCGAATTGTTTCATTCTTTTCGAAAACAGTTTTCAAGTTTAGCAAAGCTTTTCTCCTCAACTGCAGGCTTCAACTGATATGATGCAGCTCTTTGAGCTTCTGGAAATTATTGCTTAAACCTTTCCGGTTGAGTATTAATTGTCCTAAACTATTTTGGGTTTTCTAAAGTACGTACGGTAATCTAAAGTGTACTCTAAAAAGTGGTAGTTAGTTGGATTTCGAAATACAGAAGAGAAGTGATTTCTCTTACTTAACAAATTATATCAAAAAATTACTCATCCCATAACAACTAGGAAATTGAAAATCAACTCATCAGTAAAGGATCTGATTAATTTCATCAACAATAATGAACACATATTCTGGTGTGAAACATGTGCTGATGTTTCATGTTTATTTAATGTTGAATTATTTCTGAGTGTCCTGTTTGCTAACAATTTTTTGAATAAAATCAATCTTAACCTACAACGACCTGACATAGAGATATATACTGGATTACAGAACTGGTATCAGGGTATTGAGGATAATTGTTGTCACGCGGTTATTAAGATTCGATGCGACTTACATCTCATTTTGTAGCGAAACGTTTGATCCATCTGTTTGTACCCAACAAAAACGTAAATCGTAAGAGAGAGAGGACTTGGAGTCGGACTCGGATTTGGACTTGGGTATACCGATTTCTTTCCTTTTCGCTAAAGCGGACGAAGAGAAAACAGCAGTCGATGAATTCTTCTTTCTGTTCATGTTAGCGAAAACGGAAAAGAAACCTGAACGAAGAAAGAGAACCGTTTCCAGAGGTTGCAACTCTGGAAAGACGTGTTGAAGAGTCAAGAACACTTATATAAGCGGTGACTGATTATCGTCTATATTTATGGTATTCTTGGTTGTTCATATTTGTATCACAATTAAGTGTAAACGTTTTTCGTTTCAACCAATACGTAGATCCAACATTTCTTTACAAAGAGAAACATTCCGATGCTGGGGATGATTCTTAATCACCGTTTTGCAACACTTTTCCAAGGTTACTTACCATTTATCTGAAAAAGTAAATAGAAATATCCATGTTCTATTTTATTAAAGTAAACGTTTAGTTTATCTGCTTCAGTAAATAGAGGTGGTATGAATGTTTTCTTTTGATTTCTCACCTGCTAGGGACTAGCCCACATTTATTATTTCGTCATTTTCAAAATAATGTGTGACAAGTGCTACACTCATAAATAGTAGTCACCTATTGTTTTCGTCTACATTATGTAACGAACAATAATAAGTCACTGTAGTGTTATGCGTTACTAAATCCAATTGACTACTATTCAATATTCTTGCCAAATCAATACAAGGTAAAGTTATGTATAACAAAAGCAATTACATAAGCTAAAAAGAGATGAACTGAATACTCCAGTTTAAGTGTCAGACGGCTGTTCAGCCAAGGGAAAGTCTTAAAATTGTAATAGAACTCACTGAAATTTTATGTAACAGATATAGAAAAACGTGCTCTATTTCTAGCCTTTAAACTAGGATTAACAATAATTTTACTTTAGCTGCTGAAAGATGGCATCAATTAATAATGAGAATAATAGTTCAGGTAAATTTCTTGTAAATAATTAAAATGATTTGTAATGCTATTATTTCTTCTTATAGAACCGTTCAAGGATGACAAAGAATTTTGGATACACCAAGAACCGTTTCAAACAAATAAAGGTAATCGTTAGATAATTTATTCATTTAAAGATATTCAATAGCTTCTAGATGATTCCATGAAATGTCTCCTACAAAGGTTCACAAATAGGCCAAGATCAAAAATGAGAATGGTGCAACCTGCACCGATACCAGTAAAATCGAAATATTTCCGTGTCGTGAAGTGGTAGAGACTTTAGCTTTGCTTCGATATTTGAGTTAGTGTACATGCTACAGGTGACGTCAGTCATATTCTTCATCGCGTGTTTCATATAATCAGCGATGAGTCACCATTTCTGGGTATTGGCCCGATCTTTCGAAAAGCCTTTTCTGTATGATGCAGTGAAGGCAACATTCTTTGGATGTTTTTGAATTGCTGATGTTATATCATAAAGGCATAAGAAGATCATATGTTTAGAATAGTGACTTTTATCCTCTCCTGACGTCATATGTCTTGGTCGGTACTATACATCATGTTATTTTCTATTCTTCTTACGTCATGTTATGTTCTGTACTACTGACCTCATTAATCTTCTTTCCATATGTTTTTTGTGTGTTCAACTTATGTAGGCTTTGTGTATAAATAGCTGTGCTTTTGCGAGTTTCTCATGTGTGTAATTAGTTAGATGGTTATTACTGAATAAAGTGAACAAAAGAGAAAACTATCCAGTTTATATTTGAGAACATAACAGTCGGTGTACTAGCCGGATTACTGTCAAGACAATACCACTTTAATACGACCTGAGACAACTTTATCAGCAGGAAACATGGATGATACAATAAATGACCAAATACCAGCAAAGAATGACCAAGTTATAGCATATTTACTCTGGAAACGTTATAGGAACAAACGCCACGTCTTTTTGGTAGAAGTGATGAAAATATTACCAACTGAGTGAAGAATGCTACTATGCAATTCCACTTGGCAGACTGTTCAGATCATGGAAAATGGCAATGGATTCCAACATTTTTACGTAAAGAAGCATTAGCATGGTATATTACGAGTAAGGAAAAAATTACTTTTTGAGAGAAAATTACGAAAGAAATACAACAAAAATATTGAGTAGTGGAAAACAACAACGTCAAAGTGAATCAGTCAAAGTATTACACATTCATTCCATCAACAATATCACCAAATAATTTACGACCAGTATACATCGACCATAACACCAATAAGAATGACAATTACATCACCCTTAACAGAATATGAAGAATTAAGATGGCCATCAGATAATCGAACAAGATTAGATTATGAAGTAAGACAACAACGTGAAACGTTTCGAAAAACAACAACAACACATGAGCGTGATGTATTAAATGTGGTGATTAATACTGGAACACAATTATTAAGAAAAGAAGAAGAAGAAGTTAATGATGATCAACAAGCACAATTACAACAGGGTGTTATCGGAACGATAGGTCAAGATCGTACATTATTATTGATAAAATTATATTGTATACTGGAACAATTGTGGATGAATAGGAAATTAAATGCTCGAAAAGGATTATTGGCAACCAGTATTGATGATCTTTAGCAAGTATTAGATGATAATGAGTCGTATATTTATCACCCACTTATTGATATATGAATTGTTACGGAATATATAACTGGATAGTTTTCTATTTTGTTCACTTTATTCAGTGATAACTATCTGACTAATTACACACATGAGAAACTCTCAGAATCACAGCTGTTTATACACAAAACCTACGTATAGTTGGACACATGAGCAAAATATGATAGCAAAACATTTTTAAACTTTTCTTCGAAGCATCTAATTCAGCACGACAAACACAAAAAATCGTACACTTTTTTTATCCTAGAAACTTTTGATTATGTTGAAAGGTTTTCTGTGGAGTCACTCTGTTCACGTTTTTAGATTCCGGTATTCAATCAGCAGACAAAAAAACATCATTAATGTCTATCGATATCCAACGATCAGCCTCAGTGCAACAATCAGAACCAGAGTCTAACAAGTGACAGAAAAACACTAGTTCCATTTCATTCATCCTTGACATCCACAACCTCAAAATTTGGTCATATATTAACTACTATCCGTTTCACAACAGAGTGTAAAGCCCTGAATAAAATAGACCGCCGCCCCAAATAGAACGACACCCTAAAGAGGTGGATGTGTGGGGTGCATTAGAACGACATGCGCTCAGTTTTGTCCCCGGATTATGTGAATATTTGTTGAATAATTTTTACACGAAAAGGGATCGAAACAAGCGATTTTCAACATTTTGTAGGGGACACCGGGGCACATCAAACTAGGAAATACCAGGATGTGTACTACGGTGCATCTTTAGAGTGAAAACCAAGCTATCACCATTCCTAAAAAAGATGAATTGTGAATTCGAAGAGGGTGGTTCAAACTATCGCACTTCGCTCAACATATTAGCGCTATAGGGTTTCCTCGAGGACCTTCCTATCAACAAAACTTCAGGTCTGGGAACTCCCAGATACATAGACTGCTGGTTTTCGACTATTCTAAGACTCACGGCAATGTTTATTTTGTGCAAACCTATAGTCCATGTATTTGGGAGTTGCCAGACCTAAAGTTTTGTCAACAGGGACGTCCTCGGGGAAACCCCATAGCGCCAATATGTTGAACGAAATGCGGTAGTTTGAACCACCCTCTTCGAATTCACAATTCATCTTTTTTCAGAATGGCGATAGCTTGGGTTTTCACTCTAAAGATGCACCGTAGTACACATCCTGGTATTTCCTAGTTCGATGTGCCCCGATATCCCCTAAAAAATCTTGAAACCGCTTGTTTCTATCCCTTTTGGTCTAAAAATTATTCAACAAACTACACTCCATTTTGAAATGGGTAGAAGGGTTTTTTTGGTTTATATTATTTTTCAAAAATAAAATCTAAATTGGGTAATGGAGACCACAGTAGAAAACTTTTATGTACGATCTAAAAAGTGATGAATAATGTAAAAAGAGTTATTGCTTGAGATGAATCAAACCAAATGCAACTTACTTAATTTATCATATTCGTCCTCGTTACATTTTGTTGACGATGCGATCGATTTTACAGTTTGTAATATCGTTGCCATGCTGCTGGAATAAAGAAAATCATCTTTTTACACTGCGTGAGTTTATTAGCGAGTGAATAACTCTGAACAGTTCAATGTACAGCTTGAATAAAATAAGACTGGATTTGTACCGTAACTATTGTCCATATAAAAAGTCCGTGCGTGCGACCATTTTTTGAATAACTTTTGTCAGGCATGAGGTAAAGATCTACGGTTTTCGCCATTCGAAAGAGGATACTTGATAGGGTCCGGCGGGATTATCCCGATCCCTATTTTTTTCCCGAACCCGGTCCCAATCTCGTCGGGATCGAGATCGGGATCCCGGTTTCAATGTCACTGAGGTATTGTTCAGGATCCCGATCCCGATCCCGTTGGGATCGGGACCGGGATGAACATTTTCGGGACCTAATTAACCATTTCATATCGAAATATAACATTTTTTTAAAAATCTTGTGTTCACACCGAGTTAAAATATTTTGATGAATATAAGAAAGACTTTGAATACATAACAAAGATATCCAGTGTCGAGGAAAAATGATTTCTATCTGGATGATGTATAGTGATATGATTACAGCGGCAGATATATTCTTCTCAGTCATATGATCTCTTTCTTTCCTTCACCATATTCATTTGTCCTTATTGACCTTGTCTTCGATCATTTCTCTCGTTTCATTTGCGATGTGTTATATGTTCTATCCGTCTTCAATAAATATTTCTAACTTGCAATTGACAAATTAGTTTGATATAGCACCTAATTGACAAAAATATTAGAATGTAAATTTGAACGTCACATTTCGGTCGAAAAATCATAATAGGATGCAATGCTATCGAGTGGTATCTCATTTGACATGTGTTTGAAAAATATCTCTGGCAGATTCACAAAACCCAGGTTTAAACGGGACCGGGATGGGTTTTCCCGTTAAGAAAAGGGTTCGGGATCGGGACGGGCTCCGTCCAGTTGGGGCGGGATCGGGATCGGGACTGGTTTAGTCCAGTTGGAACGGGATCGGGATCGGGACGAAAAAACTTCATCCCGCCGGACCCTAATACTTGAAGGCACGTTTTCATAACCGGTGTTGGTTTCAGAGCAGTTTTCTGAAACAGGTTTTCTAGGAGATCTTTGGAAAACTAGGCCGCCTGTAAAAACTTTCCAATAGGATTGTATTGTTTTTTGTTCACGGGTCGATAGCTCTGAGTGTCCTCTCGAAAATCCGAGTAAAGTGTGACCTTGATTTTCCGCGGTTTGGGCGTTGTATCGGATATCTTACGAAGTCCAAGGGCTGGCAGCCGGTGACTATTGGTAGCCTTAAAAACTGATGGACTATGGGTAATCGACCATGCTGAACTTCATGGATATATTTGTTTTTAGAAAAACTTTTAAAAATACCGAAAATCCAGTTTTACGAAAATTAAGGTTTCCAGACTGCTTTCACCTAATATTAAAAAATTC